GGATAATCTTTCATGATAACATCAAAGACTATGTCGGCATTGTTTCGGAGCGCAATGATCGGTGTAGTGTAGGTCTGCAGGTACAATATCCCAGCTGTATAAAGGTTTTAGTGGAATGCATGTGTGACAGATTGAGCCTCCCCTTATTAACAAATATTCCACTGAGGTAGAAAATCGTAGATTTGTATCAAAGTGTCAATGAATTGGCTTGGTTGGAGCACACCTGTTAACGAGAATTTATACCTTTATGGAGGAATGAACAACCAATCAACAAAACCACCTTGTACAAATCTGTCATTTATCATTTCATGTGGTAAATCCCCACATTATAAGTTGCCTGTGCGTTTGTGTTACTCAGAAAATAGTCTTTTGAGGATGAATCCAGTAGGTACAAATTCAGTTGTGATAAGGCAAGAATGATGGGAACTGCCATTATTATGATGCGATCATGCAAACACTTCCAACGCCCTCTGTATTGTCGGCCATCGTGCCTTCAGCCTCTTTTTGAGTCCATGGTTAATAGGCAGGGAAGAGATCGTCACAAGTACATGAAGTGTTATTGTAGCATAAGTAGTATGAAGATTGTATTGTGAAGTGAACACGGTACTGGATTAATAAACTTGTAACTGCTTTTCTTCGTGATTTAAGGGGGAGAATTACGACAATGTTGGCCCCTGCACAATGCTGTGTCATTACTCTTCTATGTGGTGTCATCCCTTCTCACAAAATCAACTCAACCTTGTCTCAGAGTGTACTTAGTGATGAAGTCAAGTTCCTATGAATGTTGTCAACTCATTCAACATTGCTCCACTGCTTTCATTGTCAAACCCAAGCTGAATTACCTTACTCAAGTATGTCATAGGGGTTCACAAATTTAATCATATCTTAAATGTTCAGATCAAACGATAGGATAAAAACTCACACTTTAACCATGGGAACATAAAACCAAGTTTTCTGTTGTGAAGGCGGTAAGATGTTTGGCATTTGGTAATTAAACATCTTAGAATATAAATTGAAAAGGGAAGCGAGGTGATATAAATCATTTCTGGGAAAGCAAGCTCAAAGATTGGTTCTTTTGAACGTGCTGGCCAAAGTGACAACTTATTTCATCTTGTATGAAGGCGACAACATTCATTGGACCCATGCTCTGCAACGTGTGATCTTGCATTTGACGATGTGTCTGTAATGGTGCAATGTGCGGAGTTCATTATCATTCAACCACTGAGAAGCAAGACTCGGCGCCTCATAGATATATTAGTCATTTTGGGTTATTTTGGTATTTTTCAGAGGTGTAGATGTAAAATCTTTAACTACCATTTAATGTTCTGTTTAAAGAAACTGTTGCTGTACATGAATATCTGTATCAGTTTATTATATTTAAGATTTGGAGTAGATTCTTGAAACCTTTGGAAAGAAAAGAAGTTATTTGTTTTCCTCTAGGGACAGGATGATGTCTTTATTTACATAGCTCGAGATTAAATATGCAAGATGATTGTTTTCAGAAGTTGTAGTGATTAAACCTTGATAAACGTGTTGATAAACAATCTCTCATAAATTACCCAACAGTAATCTCGGAGGTAAACAACTGCTGTTTACTGGAGCCATACTAATCTGCTTCAGATGTAGGACATAGCTAATTACTCAATGTTGCAGGGACCTACATCACTACTCCAGGCTGTAAGACAGTCTGCAGTTGGGATTTGACCTTATTCCAGGGATTTGGGTAGAAAAGGACAACAATCTTCACAGGAAGCTGCCTTGGGTAATGGTATTACCAGGTTGGGGTAGAATGTCAAAATGGTCAAGTGTGGTTGGCGCCAATATTGATGTAACCATCAGAGCCTGGAGTTGGCATGTTGGACCAATCGTACCACACTTACCCTCTCATTAGACTTAATTATTTCCACATTAAAGTTCTGACACTTTGTGTAATAGGATGACTTATTACTGTTCTGGCGCCAAGTTCTCTTAGTTGGCTATGGTTAATTAGGCCCAGGATTAATGGAAATCAATAGTGGGAGGAACGTTGGTGAAAACATGGCGTGAACTTTAATTGTGAGGAGGCTAATGAGGGAGAATTGGCAATATTCATTAAAAATGGGATAAATCATTCCCTTTGTAAAAGATTATGTAATATTTTGACATGATGCTGTGGCAATCTGGTTAATGATTTTGTATTTGTGGTTGTTGCAATAGTCTGGTCAAAATAATGTTTTCACAGCATCAAGTTTTCTGTGCGCTAATGTTGAGGTTGTAATTCAATGACATTAAACATCCATTATGTGATTATGTGGAAAAAGTACAAAAAATGTTTTGTGTGCAAATGTTAATAAAAACATACAAACAACATCACTTGAAGATGTAGATTGTTTTTGAAATTGTGTCATCACACTGATATGCACAATTTGAATTAAAATAAATTTGTTATACATTTTTTACAAAATTGTTCAATCGTTATGCAGAATTGATAATTAAGAGATTATTTCATCTTATAAGTCACTCTATTGGAAGTTAGTCTGAAATGCTGAAATGCACTTTGTAGTCTTCACTGAAAAGCAAGGAAAAGTTTGAAGAATATGTAAAACAATTTGAGCCATCAGTTTCGAACATTCACAAGATACATTTCAGTGCCACTCACTTACTCCAGCAAACAGTACAACAATGTTGCAGAATTAATCATATCCCAGGGTATTCTATGGAATGTCTGGCAATATGAAACCCACTTGCTGGCGGTATTGTTTACCGTACACCTAGAGTGAACCCTTACCAAGGTTGCAAGCCGTGATGGCGAGCCTCACTTCATGATGGATTAAAAGCTATTGTTGCAGATGATATTCAAGATAAAAGAAAACAGTGATTAGCTCCCCACAAGCTGGACAGGCTGAAGAGACTTCCAGGTGATAAAAACACACCTGATCTTCATGAGCTGTAGAAACAATCCCCCATTGCCGTCCCGCCTCGATTGCTTGTACAGGGCCGGCCATATTTGATTTCACAATACAGGAAGCGGTTTAGATACAAATATTAATATTTACTGGCTGGGGATGCCATTTATTTGTGTTCGGGCTGAATGCTATGATGGTGTCTGGGACTTTTGTTTGTCCTTCATCATCGGTTCACCAAGATATTTTTGTTGTAATTATGGCAGCGGGTGATGAAGGAAGTCTTGAGACAGTTTCATCAGCAGTGTCAGGGAAAGTGATAGCACTGATACGCATACATGAGAACAAGGTAAAAAACATAGCTGGCAACATGAAGCTTTCTGACAGCTTATTGTTTCAAATTTGCTAAGCTGATTTCCTTCCAAGCCACCAAAGATTTCTGTCAGTTAAGTCATGAAGTCAAGTACATAACAACAAGAACATACTATATGGCTGTCATCACTCAACTAGAAGAAGATAATGTTTGGAAAATAATATGCAAGCTGTCTCTATTTTTTGCCTTTTGTCTTGTTAGCAGATTTTCTGTGTTCAATAAGAGACTGATGCAATCTTAAAACATCAAACAGGTTCTGTTTTGTAGGTGTTTTTTAGTTTATTTACACGTCTTTGTGATGCAGGACACAGGTGGGTACGATATGTTCTCCTACTTGCAAACACAGTATTATCACTATTTGATAGTGATTTATAAAAACAATGTTACAATATAGAATCGTACATAGGGTTGTGCTTTTTAGCAGAGACTTCTTATGTTTATGGAAAGGGTTTTGTTGCTTACATTTATATGGGGATTTACTTGATATAATAGTGAGGCTTCATTCTTTTCTCTGTTTTTTTTTGACAGTGGGGTAGCCTGGTGGTTTAAGTGTTCACTTGTTGTTCTAAGACCTGGATTAAGTGCCCCTCACAGGAACAGTGTGTGAAGTCCAGATCTTGGAATTGGAGGAATATTGCTAAAAGCATAAAACAATACTCGCTCAAGTTTTGATATGCTTCATAATAAGCACTAAGTAGATTTTATGTGTAATATCCAGCAGTGAATCCAATTTACTATTAAATCTGAACTCGGATAAACAGTGAGAGCAAGCTGACGCTGAGGATGTGCACCCGTCATCAGTAACCACCTCATTATCCTCCATCACCTAGTGGACCATGGTATTGTCACCTGTTACATTCACAAATATGACATTGCTTTCATATTGACAGAACTACTGATCTAGATCGCGGAGATAGTTACATAGTGCAAGCTGTAGGTGTCATTGGTGAATACCACTCAACGAGAATTGTACGAGAAATATTGGCTCATGGCTGGTGAGGAATTAGCATGTTTCGATTACATCACCCCATTTATCTGGTTTATTAAGCATGGAAATGGATGCACATTATGAGAATGAGCCATGAAACATTTAGATGACCACAAATGTGTTTATTAACAGCAGAGGTCAATATTCGGCCAAAGCACTATGAATTATTCTGAATGATAGTAATGATGGCTATAAGATGAAGGTAAATGGCTTGAAACATGTAGACATTCTGTTAGAAACTACAGATACTGACAAGTGGCAGACCCACTTAAATATTCATGAGTTTTCATGGGAGATTTACCGAACCATGAGTTTGAAAAGCGTAATAGTCCCATAACATCCATATGCTTTAATAAACACACAATAAAATATCTGCATAAATGGGGAAAAGATCATCATATTATTCACAAAGAAATCCTGGGATTCGTGTTATGAGAAAAGTGACCCTTTCCTGTTCAAGCATTCAGGCTTTGATGTATGTTTATGGCTCTGTACTTGAACATTCATCCCTGAAAAATGCTTTCAGAGACTCAATGTCAATTTACTTCTGAAATGTGTAGAAAGATGACTAGAGCTCAATGGATGTTTTGAAATTTTAATATATATTTAATTACTGTGGATATACAAGTTCATGTTTATAGTTTTTTAATTGACAGAAGTGTTTGTACATAATTGTTCATATAGTGCATATTTTATTGATTTTTTAAAATATTTTTCTGTACATGTGAATAGAATGTGAATTTTGTTTACTCCTTTTCAAGCCGGATATCTATGGGTTAGTCATAAGAATTTCTAAAGACAATCCCTCAGCTGATGTAAAGAAACTACAGTGTGATTCACAATGCTTTTTTATGACTTGTTCTTTTCAATTATGCAAGAGGGACTGACAGCCCTGCCTAGGATGTACATGGCTTTGTGGGAGAAATGGAAGACAGTTGGAGTGACATATATCCAAAATGGCCACCAGTTATGGCGGATACCTGCAGTTTCACAGGACGGCTGTGTTGGGGGTATTTGCTTGGATGTTAATGTTTCAGTTCACTACTGAAACTGATTTATTAGATCAAGTACAGCAGTGAGTAATGTTGCTAGAATCTATTTCTGTCACGCTCTAGTCTTCGTCACAAATCCGATGTCTTTTCAACGTGGACTGGTAAAATTCAAAATGGCTGCCACCTACTGTTTCACAGCCCCTGAAGTTGACCCTCGTCAGCATGAGATAATACCTATGTTAGAAGCTTCTGCTTACCCCATGTAGATATTAATTGAGAAGCCAGCTGTACACTATCAAGACTTCTGCCATAGAGATTGGTCCAGCATATTTCAAATGGACCATATCAGGTTGTGGAAATAATTATCAGGGCATGTGTGCTCTTATGATAACCGTATAATCAGATATTTGAATGCTTCTTAAATGATCTGTTAATAGGCAAACCTTGGACATTTTCCATCACTATAAACCTGCTTTATTAAAGTTGGATGAGAAGAGAAGGGAGAGATAAATGAAGCAAAGTGTGAAGATGAAGATAATGATACAATATATCAGACAACTGCTTCTGTCCGCTGTTGTGATAATTGACAAACAAGCCGCAGTGATTGTGTTAAGGAGGGCCAACTGTAGAGGTGGCACTGACTTGGTTCTGTCTTTCAACATGATTATAAGATCACAGAAAGTTCCAGGATTATATGAGTATGATCTATTCTTATGAGAGCAAAATATGTACAAAACTGGTGGCTTGTGCAAGATTAGGTCACATTCACAGATATGAGGGTCAGATCCATCTTGTGTGGTAGTTCACTTGTAGAAGTGGCTTAAAAATAGGAGGAGACGTTGTCACTGGAAGTACAGACAGGCATTTGACGATAATGAAGTTAGGTATGATGTATATAGATATGATAATATTATTATACACATTTGTATTATTATATGTTTTGTTAATCATCATATATATGTGATTCATTATATATCTTGTTTATGTAGTTTATAGAATATTGTCACTGTTTCTGTATGGATCGTTTTCACAATAAATATTTTATCTTTATCTTTTATCTTTATGATAGGATAGTTTGTTGCTAAAATATTCCATGGAGGAACAATGGCAATATTCACATTTCATGTTCTGTATGAAATATGTAATTTGAAACTACACTTTCCTTTTTAGTGTGGTTGACTATTTTCTTTTTCATATTTTCAATGACATTCCTTCTTTCGAGCTATAATGAGCTATAATTTTGAGGTATTGGCATATAAAACTATAGTATTGAGGTATCGGTATATAGAGCTATATCACTGAGGTATCGGTATATAGAGCTATATCACTGAGGTATTGGAGGCATCTATGTATTCTTCAATGCACTTATCAGCATAGTCCACAGTTAATTACAAACACCCCAGGAAGTGGAGCGGACTAACCTTTCATCACTTTATATTTAAATGATAAGCTATCTGTAATAGGCTATGACAGGTCCAGCTGGGACCGTGATATAAATCACTGACCAATGTCCAGCAGGAGGTCCTGCAGGATGAAATGGAGTATTTCCCTTAATTGACACGGTAAACAAACTAAATATGGCATCCTCCTTATGGCCAGGTCTCCAAATACTAAACATCCACTGTACCGAGGATCTGGTTAATGATATTGCAATTTAAGACCTGTTTATGATATTGGGAGTATTAAAGTTAGAGCTTTAAACAGATGGCCAGTTCTCTAGTCCATGTAGAAACTAATAGCAAGGTGCTTGAGTGTGCTTAAGAGGCCTACTTGGAATCAGGTCAAGTGACCATCTGAAGGGACATTCTTCATTGTCCAGTTAATTTCATTACTGACCTAGTTAAATAGGAACACCAAATAGATACTGAATCTTCTGATAGTTACACTTGATATTGTCAAAGTATGATCTAGATTATGACTTCTGGTATTTTCTGGATGCTAAGTAGCCGTAAATAAAAAAGTTCAGTAATCAGGTGTCCAGACTTGTGATTAACATGGATACATATTTTGAAAACAAAGTCTGTTTTTACTTTTTGAGAGAGAATTGTAGGCGCCGTTTGATTTATGGTAGAATAAACAAGAGGTTTTGGTAAAGGGCAAATAATTGAAGCAGCATGTCTAAAATTGATACAGATTCACCCCGGTCTTCAATTGGTTGTAATTTAGACCAATCATGTATCAGTTTACAGCTAATGGTGGAGATATATCCCATATGACCTGAATGACCTGTTTGCGTCCAGTCAGAATCGTATGATACTGTATCACTCAGTGCATAATCATCCATATCCCACATTAACCTTTCCTCAGATTCTGATGGAGCCAACCCCAATAGCTTTTGTGTATGTAACCAGCATGTTTTATTCCCTTTAATACATTGTGACATTTACAGTACAACTATTTAGAACCTTTCAAATTATTGTCTGCTAAGTTCAAAGAAGTCGTGACATTTTCTGCCCAAAAGAGAATTAGTTCATTACAGCTAACAAATAATGTGAATTTTAGGATGACAAGGAAATATATATGTTATAAGAAAAACCTTTTTGGAAAGTTCTGTCTTAAAACTTGCTGAAAGATTATCTGTTTTTAGGGATATGTTACCTGAAGAAGACAAGTGTTGAGGAAAGTATTTCCAGCTAGGCCATGGTATAGGATTGATGCATTGAGAATGGATAGCTTTTCTCTTAGAGGTTCATAAATCATCGTTATTATTTGACAGTTGTCAGGTTTCGAATATCGTGTGGTGATCACACTCCTCTTCACCAATGTTTTGAAGATGTTTGAAGATGACAGATTTGTCAGGTGTAATGGTCGGTCTCCACAACAGAGGGCTGTTTGACTGTTGAAAGCAGTGTGTATTTATCTTGTTTGGTTTCTAACTAAGCATGGTACCCATATATTCACTGCCTGTCTGTGTATTTTCTCAGATGGCAAAATTGCCACAATTTAGTGGATAATTGGCTGCCTTCCACTAGCCATCTTTGTCAGAGTGTCATGGATTTGTTTGGAACAGAACACTCTTGTTCCATATTTGGAATAGTAAACAGATAATGCTTCCCTACCACTAATTAACTGTGATTTTTGTTCATGGACTCTGTTTATATTTCCTTTACAATTAGAAGACACAGAAAACAGTGTCATGCTTTTCTCTTCCTTTGTGATGTATTATGAGATGGAGGTGACGTGAAAAGGGGCGTAGTGTCACATTATTGCATTTGTTTTGTGACATGCATGCACATGTGTGATATGTGATGTGTGGGAAGACTGTTTATTTTGTCTGCCTCTTTACGGTCATTTAATTTGAAGAATAATTGTATGACTAGTCATATTTCGTGAATAATCCATCTTATTCAACAATGAATTTAAAGACTGAATGGACAGGAGGTAAAATATTCAGGTGTGTTTTCAGGAATTACCTGTTGAGGGCTAGTTGTCACTGCATCCCTGTGTAATCTTGATGTCACCTGACCTCTTGCCAAGCACAGTAAGGGACTGCCTTTATCATGGAGTACCTGGGCTATACAGTGATGGATACTACCGTCATTCAACTAGTCTCAAGTCATATATTACCTTTTGTCAGTTTGACAGCCCAGAGTTCAAGGGAAATCCTCTTTAGTTTTGTAATCTTCCTTCCAAGATTATATTGTTACTTAAAGATTCATTCTGAATATGATAAAAAAGCCCTGAGGTTTTATTTTCTATAGTCTTTCATAATCATAGACTGGAATATAAAGGATATAGGGAATACTATAAATCAAATTTGATTTTGGGTATACATTACTAACAGATGTTTGCCAGGAATGTTGGGAGTGAGATTTTAGGAATCATTTGAGAACTTGGCTCTGAATTTGGAAAATAAACCCACTGACATGATATGCCAAATTAACTTCAAATTTGTAAGCAATTACAGCAGACTGCCAATAGACTGCCAATATTCAAGTTGCGTCTTTAAGTAGGAATTATTTTATACGACTTCCTGGGAGAAAATTGTCAGATGCTATCATCTAGACAACTAACTTCTTTTGATGTTGCAAAAAGCTTCTGCAAACATTTAAGTGCCAGACTTAAGACTACTTTAAACGTCAAATAAGGAGCCAGATTCATAATTAAATGTTTTGATTAATTACCTATGCGTGGTGATGGAGCCAGCTTGATATAAAAGTGTCACGTTGGAGTTATCAGTGAGAACTACACACACTATTCAGACGTACAGGACTGTTTTGAATGATGAAATGTTACTCGGATTCAGGACAGGTAAAGAGAAGCACTAGATTATTTTGACATCTGAAGGAATTTAAGAATTTTTCATTTTGACAATTTTGGAAACATTCCCTTCCTAAGATTGTAAATGTCACTTTTTGAAGCTCTGAAAAGTATTTCAAGTTTCACTGTGAATAATAAAATCAAATAAATATTTATTTAAGCATCTTCCACCAAGCAAAGAAAACCATCCACCAAATGTCATTGGGTTCTTTGTTTAAATCCAAGGGAATTTCATGGACCCCAACAATTTCTTTTTCATTTCATACATTGTTGTCTGGTGGTATGCGCGTCCCTATAGATCAGATTCATGGTATTCCAATAGTTTTCACCAAATATTTTGCCCTTTGAAACAGTATGAATCCTAGTTCAGTGTAGCTTGAAGCAGAGGTCAAGGTGTCACCAAGGTCATGCCATGTACCGACTTTGTTTACATGGGGCTGTTTCCCAACCCTGCTCTTTCCCCCTGTCCAGGCAAATATTTGCACCTCTCTGCCAACATGGCAGCTACAATATCATTTGCAGAAAGCTCTCGCATTGCTATGAAAACCTCAACATCGTGGTGAGATATGTGGGTGAGAGCAAACCTGATGTTTGTACCTCTTGTACTATTAGAACTGCCTTGTCTTTTGATTGCTATGAATCTGTATGCCATAAACCAAATATTTCCGCTCCTTGCTTCTTGATATTGTTCAAAGACTGACCACAATTATCAAGAATACCAGTAGTTTATTCATCATAAATCGGCAGTTTATGGATGA